CTGTTTGAGATGCAAGTGGCTCCTTACAGCAGACAGGGATTTCTCTCCAGTTTAATAACATCAGAGCTGTATAACAAAACGTCCATTAAGAGAGGAGCGTGAGGAGATGATGAATGATCTGTACGGAGCACTATAGCTGAATGCCGAGTGTTCTCTGGACGGTAAATAAACTCTGCTGCTGGAATCACCAGAAAATTAAAAGCCAAAGATGTTCTGTAACCATGTACTACTTGAAATTATCCGTCCTCTTGAATCTACCGAACAGAAAATACTCTACATAACCTCTTTGGTTATTTCCACATATTGTCCTAAAGGTCTCCAGCGGTGCAAGTCGTGTTCACCGAGAAAGACAAATTACCTGTAGGGGTCCCCAAGACTTTGGTGTAGCTGGAGAGCAGGAGATGCAAAAGACTACACATGCTTCTACCAAGAATCCTCCAAACCCTCTCACATCCTATGTGTTCCCTTCAGGAATCACCGACACCTACAGTGCCTTGGAAAAGTCTTCACACCCCTTGAAATTTTCCACATTTTGTCATGTTACAACCAAAAACATAAATGTATTTTATTGGGATTTTATGTGATAGACCAACACAAAGTGGCACATAATTGTGAAGTGGAAGGGAAATGAGAAATGGTTTTCAAACTCTTTTACAAATAAATATGTGAAAAGAGTGGCGGCATTTGTATTCAGCCCCTCGGAGTCAATACTTTGTAGGACCACCTTTCACTGCAATTCCAGCTGCAAGTCTTTTTGGGGATGTCTCTACCAGCTTTGCATATCTAGTGCATCTTTGCACAAAAGAGCGCAGGAACGGTGGCCAGAGGGGGGTCCTCTTCTACCCCCTGAAGAAGTAATCATGAGGCTGTAGGGCCACTTGGATCATTTGTACAATAAGCCTCATCGCTGGCTGAAGATACCGGGCTCACGGCCCGCTTAAGTTTTTATGAACTTAGGCCCCCAAGCCACACAAATCAGCCCCCCCCCCCCCCCCCCCCTACCAACCCCCCCCCCCCCACCCCCCCCCCCTCCACCCCCCCCCCCCCCCCCCCCCCCCCCCCCCCCCCCCGTTGCATTTAGCAGGCAGCATTGCCGTGAAATGTTACCGTTTATGTAAACAGGGCTGTGGCATGATACAGCATTTACAGGGTTAGAATATTAGGTAAGGAGTGCAACTTCTCACCTTCCCACCGCCTGTCAATCACCTCTAAAAAGTGATCCACCACAAAGCACTGTTTAGAGGTGCAGTTATATTAGGGTTTGTTCACATCACATGCAATGAGCGCTGCATGGACACACAAAAGGCCTCCATTTCTATTGTAGCTAAATAGTTAGCAGTACTAGGGTCGTTGGTTCGAATCCCAACCATGGCACCACCTGCCTGAAGTTTGCATGTACTCCCTGTACCTGCGTGGGTTTCCTTCGGGTACTCTGGTTTCCTCCCAGACTCCAAAGACGTGCTGGTAGGTGAACTGGATCCTGTCTAAATTGGCCCTAGTATGTGTATGTATGAATGTAAGTTAGGGACCTTAGATTGTACACCCCTTGAGGGTTAGGGACTGATGTGAATGTACAATATATATGTGTAAAGCGCTGCGTAAATTGAGGGCGCTATACAAGTACCTGAAATAAATAGTCTTGCCACAAATTTTCAATTGGATTTAGGTCTGGACTGTGACTGGGCCATTCTAACACATGAATATGCTTTGATCCAAACCATTCCATTGTAGCTCTGGCTGTATGTTTAGAGTCGTTGTCCTGCTGGAAGGTGAACCTTCTCCTCAGTCTCAAGCCTTTTGCAGACACTAACAGGTTTTCTCCTAAGACTGCCCTGTATTTGGCTCCATCCATCTTCCCATCAACCATGACCAGCTTCCCTGTCTCTACTGATGAAAAGCATCCCCACACCATGGTGCTGCCACCACCATGTTTCACAGTGGGGATGGTGTGTTCAGAGTGATGTGCAGTGTTAGTTTTCCGCCACACTTCGTGTTTTGCTTTTGGGCCAAAAAGTTCAATTTTGGTCTGCTCTGACCAGAGCACATTCTTCTACATGTTTGCTGTGTCCTCCACATGGCTTCTTGCAAACTGCAAATGGGACTTCCTATGGCTTTCTTTCAACAATGGCTTTCTTCATGCCACTCATCCATAATTTTCAGATTTGTGGAGTGCACAACTAATACTTGTCCTGTGGACAGATTCTCCCACCTGAGTTGTGGATCTCTGCAGCTTCTCCAGAGTTACCTTGGGCCTCTTGGCTGCTTCTCTGATTAATGCTCTCCATGCCCGGCCTGTCAGTTTAGGTGGATGGCCATGTCTTGGTAGGTTTGCAGTTGTGCCATACTCTTTCCATTTTTAGATGATGGATTGAACAGTGCTCTGCCAGATGTTCAAAGCTTGGAATATTTTTTTTATAACCTAACCCTGCTTTAAACTTCTCCACAACTTTATCCCTGACTTGTCTGGTGTGTTCCTTGCCTTTTATGATGCTGTTTGTTCACTGTTTTCTAACAAACCTCTGAGGGCTTAACAGAACAGCTGTATTGTTACTAATATTAAATTACACACAGGTGGACTCTATTTACTAATTAAGGCAACTGATTCCACTAGATTTTAGTTAGGGGTATGGGAGTAAAAGGGGGATGAATACAAATGCATGCCACACTTTACAGATATTTGTAAAAAAAATTGTAAAACCATTTATCATTTTCTTTCCACTTCACAATTATGTGCCACTTTGTGTTGGTCTATCACATAAAAACCCAATAAAATAAATTTACATTTTTGGTTGTAACATGACAAAATGTGGACAATTTCAAGGGGTATGAATACTTTTTCAAGGCACTGTACACACACACGGGGGTGTTCAAGTCAAACCGGGACTTTTGAGTTTATATAATAAAAGAACAAATTTTAAATTAAGAATGGAAACTGACTATTTTTCTACATACTCCCCTGCTACATTTATACACTTATCCCATTGTGTAACTAATGCCTGGAAAGCTTCGGCATAGAAAGATTTGTTAGTAGGCCTGAACCATCCTAGGACAGCCTGCTTCACTTCATCATTGTGTTCACCGTTCCCACAGAATGATTCGCCTCTTGTGCAATTTCACGACGGGTTATGCATCGATTATCCAGGATCAGGTGTTCCATGTGTTGAATGTTCACAGAAATGACTGCTGGGAGCTGGGAACCACCACAGTTGGGACAGTCAATGACGGGCATACGGCCATCTTTGAAACATTTACACCACTCAAATGTCTTACTGTGGCTGAGTGTTACATCAGTGTGCTATGCTTAAAGTCTTCTGTAAATATCCGCGGGTTTTACACCTTCTTTCACAAGAAGCTTCATCACCACACATTCCATTCACGCACTAACACTGTTGTCTGCCATCTTGATTATCGGTCTCTGGACTTGCCTGCAACATACAATCAGTAATAGAAGTGTACAATCCCAATGCACAGGTTCCTGCCTTGAATAATGGCTGTCTATATGAGTGGGTGCTGCAGTGACCGTCGGCTGGAACTGACCAAAATCAACAGGGGAGGATGTCACCAGCACACCGAGGATCTCCAATACGGGTCCACAAGCTTTAATGAACGATCACAGTTACAGCAAGGCAACGTTTCGGAATCTCGCAATATATATATATTGTGACAGTGTGGCGATCTGTCACCCAGGATTCTCAACTAGGCAGGTTGAGGGGCTCCAGGGTAAGTGTTTGATATGGAGGAAAGTGGCTTTTCACTTTCCTCCTTTGTTTGTAAGGTCTGTTTTGGGATCTGGAGCCTGGAGATTTCAAAGAGATCTGGGAGGGATGAAATCTCCAATCCTGGGACCAGGTTTTGGGAATGGCCAGGAGACTGATTGCACAGTGTGTGTGCAGGCCTTTTCAGAGAGTCAGGATCAGAGTTCTGGGCTCCACCCCGGCAGATAGGAGTCAGGAGGGCTCCACTTGGAAGACAGGTGGGCTTCACCTAGGAGAGGTGGAAGCCAAAAGTAACAAGGGGCTGCTAGAGACTAGCTGTGTGCTAGAGGCCAGCGGTGTGCAAGTGCCATATTTTTGGGAAGAAGTCTGGAGGAGACAGACAGCAAGCTGAGTGTAAGCCAGGAGGCTGAACCGTTGTTTTGTGGATGATCAATACCCCTGTGTGGGAAACTTCTGTTTGAACTTTCATTTAAATAAAAGTGGGCTAAAAAGGCCCTGAAAAAGAAAGCGAGTAGCTGTTTGCGTTTAAAAGCTCTACCACTTTGAAGCGAGTTCCCACATATATATATATATATATATATGTATATATATATATTATATATATATGTTTTGGGGGGGGGGGGGTGGAATAGTGTGTTTTGGTTTTTGGGGGATTTTTTTTGTACTTTTTTGTCTGAGTATAGATCTATGCTTGAATCCACTTACTGTCGACAGCCTCACTACCTCTGCTGGACGTCTATTTCAATCAACTACTGTTTTGATTAACCTCCCTAGCGGTCTGATTATGTCCATATTTCTGTGCTCAAAGCGGTAAATTTTTTTGCATGAAAATATGTATTTTATTATTGTAGGCCTGCAATTTTTAGGAATAACTCACTGAAATCTGTCCAAACAAGAGTCTAGTAAACATCCCGGGTATGTTAAAATTTGAAACACAAAATCATAAATTATAATTTATTAATCATAAAAAATAATATAATAATAAATTTAATACAATAATATAGTCAAACCAAAAACACTGAAATTTGAAATATAGCGCCAAGTTCGTACATCACTGAGCAAAGTCGCAGAATCATTTTCAGTGTCTGATGACGAATTTCCCCACGAATCATAATCACTCAATTCTGCAAGTGGTTCTAATTTACTATCTCTGTTCTCTAGCCGGTCTAAAACCGCTTTTGACCTAAAGGGATGCTTTTTGGACGCCATGGACGTTTCTCAGTTTCCAGGCAGAAAGAACAGTAAAAATGCAGGCAGGGCACAGGACAAAGCACTCGGGACAAAATGTATGTGAAATGGTTTGATACAGTAATGTTTTACTGTGTGATTTTAGTGTATTTCGTGAATGTCACTTTTTGTCATTTTCAAATTTCCCGCCGTTCCGTCCCCCGTACGTCCCGACGCTCGCAGGGGACGGAACCCAGACGACAGATGCCGGCATCCGCCGGAGGACATTACAGGGGACACTGCAGGAGGGACATCGCGGGAGCGCAGGACAAGGTAAGACAAGAACAGATCCCTGAGCATGGTAAGCCCGAGTGTAGCTCGAGGTTACTGCTTGTGGTGCTGAAACTTTACCCCGAGCTACACTCGGGAATACCGCCAGGGGGGGTAAATAATGCTTTCTAAGATTAGTTTTGAGCTTTCCTCCAGTTAGTTTGAGGTCATGCCCCGTGTTCTTGATTTTGGTTTCACCTTGAAAATCCTGTTCTCCTGAACCCCATTCACCAATTTGATGTATTTAAAGGTTTCAATCATGTCTCCCTATCCTCTCTTACCTCCAGACAATACATTATTATACAGGATTTATATACGGTTTGCTCAGAGCTTTACATTACAGTGGGAGACAATACAGTAACAATACAGTTCAATACAAGAGGGATTTGAGGGCCTGATCCTTGGAGCTGTACATGTTAAGTTCCTGAAGTATTGAGGCATTTTATCCATCAGACCATTCACCATCTTTGTTGCCCGTCTCTGGACTTGTTCTATATTGTTAATATCATTTTGTAAGGTAAGGTGAGGTCTCCAGAACTGGACATAATATTCTAAATGAGGTCCCACTAAAGATCTATATAGAGAGGAATCAGGACCTCCTTCCTTCTTCTAGAATTCTGTAGTTCTAACCAACGCTGTACCCCCAATGTTGTACTGTATTAAGGGATTCTTTTTCCCTAGGCGCATTATTTTACATTAAGCCTGGGTTCACACTGATGCGGTACGGAAATCATTGTGGTTTCTGTGCAAATTCCACTCCGCATCAGAATCGCACCCCATTCATGTGAACCGCTGCGGGTGTGTATGTTAACAACATCCCGAAATCGGTTTGCAAAATGCGGTGTGATGTGCAGAATCGGATCGCATGGGTGTGAATACCCATGCGATCCGATTCTAGTGCAGACCAAAAAAAGGATCCTGTGCCTTTTTGTTGCAGATGAGGCGCGATTTGAGCCATACAAAATGTATGGCTCAAATCACACCACACAGAATTCGCATGCGATTTGCACAGGAATGTGGTGCGGTTCCTGTGCAAATCACATGCGATATGCCGCACCGCATCAGTGTGAACCTAGGCTGAGACACGTTGAATGGCAGTTTTCACTGCTTTGACCAATCTTCCAGCAATGCCAACTCATGTTCCATGTTACAGACACCTGCAGGAATACCAACCCTATTATACACCTTCGTATCCTCAGCAAAGACACATTCCTTACCCAACAAACCTTTAGTTTTATCACTTACATATTATTATTATACACTATTTATATAGCGCCAAAGGGTATGCTCAGCACTGTACAGTAGCAAGGGGGACATAACATGAGACAAGACAGTAACAATACAATACACGAGGGGTTCGAGGGCCCTGCTCTTTCAAGCTTACAATCTAGGAGGGAGGGGAAGGTGGCACAGGAAGAGATGGCTGTGGGGGATGGAGTGGCGGGAAGAGTGGAGGAGGTTAGTTGTTAGGTGAGATTAGTTGTTAGGTGAGGTTTGGGGTAGGCTTCCCTGAAGAGGAGGGTTTTCAGGGTGCGCCTGAAGGTGAGGAGGGTAGGCGACAGTCTGATGGATTGGGGTAGGGAGTTCCAGAGGATGGGGGAAGTCCTGGAGAAGTCCTGCAATCGGGCGTGGGAGGAGGAGACCAGGGAGCTAGAGAGTAGGAGGTCCTGTGAGGAGCGGAGGGCACGGGTAGGGTAGTATTTGGGTATCAGGTCAGGTATGTAGTTTGGGATGGCATTGTAGATGGCTTTGTAGGTCAGAGTTAGCAGTTTGAATTTGATGCGTTGGGCAATCGGGAGCCAATGAAGGGATTGGCAGAGGGGGGAGGCGGATGTGGAGCGGTTGGTGAGGTGGATGAGTCTAGCCGCTGAGTTTAGGATTGACTGGAGCGGGGATAGCGTTCGTTTGGGTAGGCCAGTACATATAAATTAGGAACAGGACCAGAGCAATGGTACAGAGCCTTGGGGTACACCACTAGTGACTGGTCTCTGTTCTGAATGAACCCCATTTACAACCACACTCTGGTATCTATCCTTTAGCCAACTGCATATGCACTGAACTATCCAAGGGTTAAGTCCAAGCCCGTCCAACACTTTTATTAGGTCATCATGTGGAACTGAATCAAATGTTTTGCTGATATCAAGATAGGCTATATCCGCTGCCCCACCCTGGTCCAAAACACTGGGGATATAGTAAAAAAAAAAATGCAGTCAGATTAGTCTGTCATGATCTGTCCATTATATCAATGGCTATACACAAGGGCCTAAACCCCATGTACTCTATATTCCACTTGTTTATTACTGGAAAAGTGTATTGAGAGGAATACGAAGACTGCAATGAACTTCTAAAAATAACAATTCCATGGCTGTTTCAGCTTTCAGCACTTTCTGGGCCACTAAGCATGCAGCAAGTAAAGTCAGCACTTCTGATCTACATACTTTTCTCAAATCACTACTGAAGGCACTGAAGGCCAGCGTTTTCAAAAGGTATGATCAGCAATAGAAGTCTCCATATTTCTATCATTTAGGTTTCTTCTAAAGGTAAATGTAAACTTTCGTTGTAATGTTTTCAAACAATATAAACACCCCATATTTAGCAGGCTGTATTCGTAAGCCGGTCATAGTTGGAATGAATCTTGGCTGATTCAGCCGGGACTAGCAGAGATTCGAACCATCTATGGGAAGGTTGGTTGTACCCAAGTTGATCCATCGATTGACTTGGGTAGAACCAGCCTGTCGGATTTTTTATATACGATTAGTACTGATGGCTATAGCTCCCCACCGGCAGAACACAATAGCGCTGCGGGAGGCATTCCCCCATCAACGCTAAATGTGTTGATGGGGGAATTGGGCAAATTCCTTTCCTTCCACCCATGGTTGTAGTAAAGAAAATCACATCATCTATGGGCTACTTTGAAGCTCAACCTCCAGGACAAAAAACAAACACCCTTGCAATGGGGCCCTTTGTCCTACAATGAAGTGATTGTTGAAGGGGAAGTCCAGTCAAATACTAACTATACCTAAACCTGCTCCCACCTCCATTCTAAGTCTATTCTAACTACTCTGTAGAGGAAAGATCCCTATACTTACCTATGCTGAGGGTCAGTCACATGCTCGGCTTCCAGCACCGACTTCAGTATAGGACACCGGATGCCCCATGGTAAGCCTATAGGTGATGTTATTGCCCAACCTCTGCGACCGTTGTCGGCGATCTCTCCTCTGAAGCTGACCGCTGGGAAGATCATGTGACCAGACCAGAGAGCTCTCAGCATAAAAGTTTAAAGCGGAGCTCCACCCAAAAGGGAAAGTTCCGCTTTAAGCCTTTGTCCCCCGCTCCCCTTTAAGGATTGGCAGCTTCGGGGAGCGGGTAGCCGCTCTCATTTCCTTTGAGATCGCCTACGCGATCGGAAGCAGAAGTTGTCTTCCTCCCCTCCCTCCCTGTAGTCTTCTGGGACACGTGACAGGTCCCAGAAGACTACGGGGCCATTCACAAAGCGCAGCGCTTCTCGCGCATGCGCAGTGGGAACCCAGCTATGAAGCCGCAAGCTATCACAGCCGGGTGCCCACACTAAAGATGCCAGCACCAGGGAGAGAAAACAGCCGGTGAAAAAACAGCAGCAGTGAGGACACCGAGGGACAGGTAAGTGTCTGTATTTTAAAAGTCAGCAGCTACAGTTTTTGTAGCTGCTGACTTTTTTTTTTTTTTTCCAGGTGGAACTCCGCTTTAAGATTCTTGTCTTTACAGGGTAGTTAGAATAGGCGAGGGAGAGTTTTACGTACATTAGGATTTGACTGCAATTCTACGTTACCTCTAGGGGCCAGAAGAAGAGGCTGTGTTTCCCTTTGTGTCATGGCATACAATGCAGGGCTATTAGCCATGCATTGCATGAGAGGAACTGTAAATGTGTAACTGTGTCTGGGGATGCTGTAGGAAGAAGCATTGGGGGGGGGGGGGGTCGACTGCACAGATGGAGGGAGACTGCCGGAGCAAAAAAATTAGGTAAATTATCCCTTTATCCCAAAAGAAAACTAACTGCTTAAAAAAGTGTTAGCTGGAGTTCAGCTTCAATTTGTTTTCCATATCTAAAGCTGTAGTGCATCTAACACTCCCCTCCCCCAGGGCTGACAATGCTGCAGTCCAAAGTTGCCCCTGTGCTCCTTCACCCACAGTGGGGGCACTCAAATACAGGAGGTGTGTTACTGGCCAGATCAGTAGATGAAGACAGAAGGAAAAAAAGCCTAAAAAAGAAAACTACTGCAGCCACCACATCTAATGATTGTTACACTGCAATATACTTGATTTCTGATTTTGGGGTTATTACCGCTTTAAAACCTAGTGCTACGGGCAAGTGTCCAACGTTTGCTCCAGTTTTTGCAGATGAGCTAACCAGGGCCCTTTGCAGCAGAAGCCATCTGTAGACACGGCCTCATACCTAACCAGGGTCCTTTGCAGCAGAAGCCGTCTGTAGACATGGACTCATACCTAAACAGGGTCCTTTGCAGCAGAAGCCGTCTGTAGACACGGCCTCATACCTAACAGGGTCCTTTGCAGCAGAAGACGTCTGTAGACACGGCCTCATACCTAACAGGGTCCTTTGCAGCAGAAGACGTCTGTAGACACGGCCTCATACCTAACCAGGGTCCTTTGCAGCAGAAGACATCTGTAGACACGGCCTCATACCTAACCAGGGTCCTTTGCAGCAGAAGCCGTCTGTAGACACGGCCTCACACCTAACCAGGGTCCTTTGCAGCAGAAGACAACTGTAGACATGGACTCATACCTAACAGGGTCCTTTGCAGCAGAAGCCGTCTGTAGACACGGCCTCACACCTAACCAGGGTCCTTTGCAGCAGAAGCCGTCTGTAGACACGGCCTCACACCTAACCAGGGTCCTTTGCAGCAGAAGCCATCTGTAGACACGGCCTCATACCTAACCAGGTCCTTTGCAGCAGAAGCCATCTGTAGACACGGCCTCACACCTAACCAGGGTCCTTTGCAGCAGAAGCCATCTGTAGACACGGCCTCATACCTAACCAGGGTCCTTTGCAGAAGAAGCTGTCTGTAGACACGGCCTCATACCTAACCAGGGTCCTTTGCAGCAGAAGACGTCTGTAGACA